TAATGTCAAACTTAGTCAAACCCGCTGATCGTTACGCTGGACTCGACACAAGATTTTGGTATTGTATTTGAAAAATATTTTAACTCAATTTGTAAAAATAATAATAACTTAATTATTGTCTTAGGGCCGACATCGTGCACATGGCCGAAGTGAATAAAGCAATTAATCTAGGTATGGGAATGCCGGACTTTAACGCACAGCCACAGTCTATTATGGACGCCATGTGCGATGTGTTAGTCGATGGCCACTATTCGCTACATCAATACACAAAGAGTCCGGTAAGCATGATACATTTACTATATTTTGCTTTTTGTATAAATTCTTATTATTTAAACAAGATAAAATTATTTAAAAGTTCATTTCAAAGTTAGTAGCATTTAAACAATATAAATTAAAGTGATAAATTGATTGATTGAAACAAAAACATTGATTGCATAGTAAATAGTATTGATTAAATAAATTACAAAAAGAATAGTATGTTATCATATTTTAAATAATTATATTGTGAAAAAATCTTTAATTTATAATTTTGAAATAAAATGTTTGTAATAAAAATTTCTTAACGCCCAACGTGGGCTCAAACCAACGACCGTATCAACTATTTACGCTAGTTATTGACGTTGTGAGTGTAAATTACATTGTAATGTATAAGTTATACCGTATAACTGAATATTACCATAATCAATGTGCAATTATAAATACCTTATTTAAAAGAATAAGTTATTCTTATTTATGTTTACCAAATTTGTAACGAGAATAACAAATATATTAAAAGTTAAATCTTTATAAATAAATTGTACCTGATTACTTGATAAAAAATATCCTAGATCCTTATTAAAATCCGTGTTTACCAAAACTAATAAATAAATTCGACGTATAAATGAATCAAACAGGGTCATCCGAGATTAGTGAAAGTGTTGGCCAAACTATATTCACACCTATTGAACAACGAGGTAAGAGATGACAACATCCTGATAACTCTGGGCGCCTATCAGGCCATACACTGCGCGCTGTACGGCCTAATTAACCATGGTGATGAGGTGATCATAATTAATCCGGCCTACGATGCCTATGCCATGATTACAAGGGCTGCTGGCGGTGTACCCGTGCATACGGCACTCAAACGTACCGACACCTATAGAAATGAAAATAATAATGATATTACCGGCGCTGATGGTTGGCAACTAGACTTTACTGACCTGGAGGCAAAGTTCAATCATAATACTCGGCTTATCATCATTAATACACCTCATAATCCATTGGGAAAGGTGAGCAATTGCTATGATTACAAATATTTGTTTTTTACAAAGACTGTTTTGTTTCGCAATTGTTATGTAATTTTATGGTTGCAATTGTCAATTGTTTTTAAAATTCAATACTTGTTTTTAACATTTACTTTAAGTGTACTTTAAGTAATTTGAGAGAGAGAGAGAGAGAGAGAGAGAGAGAG